CATTTTCCTGGCGGGGAGCAGGGAGCAAACGTGAGCGGGAAGGCTCCAGCCTTGGAGTTTGGGAACGGTCCCTGGAGTTGCAAGTCCCACCAGGGTGGCCACAAAATCCGTCCTCCCCATACATAATCCTCTGCGAGCTCCAGACTCATAAATACCTCCAGCGCTGCCCATCCGGGGCGGGGAAGGATTAAACCCCGGCCCGACTGCCCTGGCTTTAGCAGGAGGAGGAGGAGGGTGGCTGCTGGGCTGGATGCTACTTCCCTGCAGCAGCACAAGGGCTCCCAGCCCTGCAGCATCAGGAGGGTGGAAAAGGAGGAAGGTGGCACGCACTGCAGCCACATCCATGACACTCAGTCCCACAAGCAACCCCCTTCCCAGAAGAGACCAGCTCCCAGACCCCTTCCCAGTGGCGCTTGCTCCTGGGAGCAACTGTGGCCCACAGAGGCATCACCCACCCATGGACGGGGGACGGGGGTCCCTGCCTGGAGACGGGCATAGTTGGGATTAAAAGCAAGACAAGGATCTCTTACCTTCCCTATTTCACCATTGGCAACTGGTTCTGGCAAGGGACCTGCAGGGTGAGCACATGGGTGCGGAGTGAGGACACGTTCCCTTGATGGGCACAGCTGCTGCCCAGTGCTTAAAAAAATTGCTGCCCAGTTCCTGAATTTTTTACCCCGCCCCTCACAGCCAGCTCTGCAGCACACCGGGGGATGCTGCCAGGCAGCAGGTAAATCCCCACGATGACAGTCACGATGTGAAGACCCTCCCGTGCTCTCCCAGGGACCATTGTGACAGCAGGGAGGGGACCATGGCTTAGCTGAGGCTGCGAAGGAGACCGAAGGGCAGCTGCTGCCTGTTCTCTCCCCAAGCCATAAACTCTGCCAAAGTGTAACCGAGGGCCATAAATCTGCCTTCCTGCACAGCCCATGTCAGCCCCACCGCCCCAGGGCCCTCAGCCAGGCAGGGAGATGCCAAAGCCAGGTGACCTGCTTAGCCCCAGGGTGACAACACCTCCACCTCCCCAGGACTTGGGGACTCCCCCAGTACTCCCAGGTTTGGTGACAAGGTGACAGAGACGGCACAGAAGTGTCACAATTCCCCCCTCCCTGCAGCACAGCCCCCAGCCCACCTGCCAGGTGCTCCTCTGAGGGCACCACCTTGCACTTCTTGAAGAACTCATCCGTGAGGACGTCCACCACCAGAAGCCTGGTTTCGTCACCGCCTGCCTTGATGGCTGCCACCACGTCGGCGTGCTGCTTGCCCTCCACGCACACCCCATTTACCTGCGGGCACGGCACTACGTCACAGCTGAGCTCAGGGAACATCCACCCCTTGAGAGCTCCGCAGAGGGGCCAGGTACCAGCTTTGGTACCAGTCACAACCCCAGCACAGCCACAGCACCCACAGGTATCCACAGCCTCCCAGGGATTAGCAGTGAAGCCAGCAAAACCTCATTAAAAGCAGATTTTCCTCTGAGTGATTAGCACAGGATTGTAGGGGCAAAAGCTTGCAGGCAGCGCCCAGCAGGACATGGACCAGGGGCTGGCACAGGAGATGGGCAGCATGAGCAAGGCACAAAGCCCTTGGGCCATGACACGGTCCCCAGAGACCTCAAAGCTTCACCCCA